TGTAAAGTTGTAAAAGTGCATGAAAGCACTGTGTAGGTATCGGGAATTTAGCTTTGAGTCAACCAAAGGCCCTGAACTCATGGAGCTTTATATTGTAAATGGGGGAAACAGACAATAAATAAGTCTGACCTTTTCAGCTTCCTACCATCTAACCAACCTTAGCAATCCCCAAACTTGGGTAGCAATGCTGATGCTAATTCTGTCCCATGTGGCCTTTCACTTTACTGTAACTATTTGAAGAGTTCCTTTGGTCTTTCCAGGTATATTCCATGTAATGGTACCCAACTAGAACCACAGAATATAGTTATTAAAGAATTTTTTAGAAGAAACAAAATGTCATAAGTATACTGTTTTAGAACATTTTTATTAAAAAACCTGTGTTCACAAAATGTGTAGCAGGTATTTATTTTCAATATAAAAATGATTATTTACCTTACAGAATTATCTAGAATTACTTTTAAAGAATAAGCTCCCCTAGTACATTTCAAATGATTCAGTTTATAATCATCCTATTTATACACAAACTGCCTTGAATTCTTATTATAATGAGAAGGTCTTTACATTTTCTCTTGTGACCCAGGATTTCCCAAGTTCAGTCAACCTATGATTACAAGTGGGATCACAAGAATGATAATAGCAACCTGGGTTTCATTGACTTTGCCCCACCTGCAAAATTTCAGATCTCTAAAATGCCTTGAATCTGCCCTCTTCCCTCCAAGTGTGTTTGGGAATCACCAACGAGTATCTGATTATCAAGATCAAATCTGGTCAGCTGCCTTGTAGGTGGCATACGTTCGGCACTTGTGACTACTTCTATGGGTACCATTATGTCTCCTTCAGGTGCTGCTTCAGTTTTGGCTCTTTTCTGGATACTACATGCTCACAGTGGGTACCACTGCTAATGCAGTGGCACTTTCAAAGAGCCAAACATCTTTAACAAGGTCCTCCAGAATGCCTCTTTTCCCTTTATCATTTTATTCTTTGGGAAGGGTACCTCTCTGTACAGCTAATTAGTGCGCAGCTGCCTTAGAAAGCTTAGCAAGACTACTTAAAGTTTATCTTTTCATTCCAGCTACTCCTAATCCCTACTGGATATGAGATCAAGGATAGATCTGAGGGGCACACACTAGCTTGTGCTCAGAACCACTCCTCTCTGAACATGACTAAGGGACTGTTAGTAGACTGGTAAAGCTTTGTTAGAGTTGGCAGCCTTCCTTAAATCAAGGTTCTCTCCCAGGAGGACCCTATAGTTTTGTGTGTATACTAAGCCTTTATCAGGCTGCCCATCAGTTCTCCAGCATCAGGACCTGTCTGAGCCTTTAAACAGTAGATGTTGAGACTTCTACACACTAAATTGATTTACATAAAACTTTTCACTCGTCTCTGATCAAAGTGATATATGCTATCATACTTTCAGTCACACTTCATGACATGAACTTGGTATTTAATCAGTTAGACATAAGTGAATAATCACATAGAAATAATGTTTCCACAGTATTTTTTTATTTTGGTTCTTTGTTTGCCAATACAAGGAATAAAGAACTGAATGAACATTGATTTTATTACTACATTCCTTTCTAGGTCTTATTTGTGGACATATAACTTTGTTTGATTATAAACTGTATTATCCATACTTTTTCTTAAATTTAGTTTATATGCACAGTTGAATATAGAGAGTCCACATTTTGTAAGTAGAATGAACAGAAGTTTTTCCATAATCTTGGGGTAACAGTCACTTAAGGTTGTGTACAAGTAGTGTACCCTGTTTTTCAGAAGTTCACATTATGCCATATCACGTTTGTGAAAGACCTACCTGTTTTCACTAACCAAAAGAAATTCCAACAGGATTTTCACTTTTATGAAAAAAAGCAAAAAGTGAAAATAATGTTCAGTGTTTGTTTTGCAATGTGCCATTATAGATGCAGTGTGCATTTTATTTTGGGGGGGATCTGGAAACACTCAAAATTTTTCCGTATGAATTGAAATTGCTTCTTTGCTTAATGCCATTTTCATTCCCCAGAGGTTTCATAGGAACACTCTACTTTCAGAAAGCAGGCAGGATACTTGTACTTGATTATTTCCAATTTACGCCATCCTAAATAGTGTTGCATTAACTATCCTTATACAAATTATTATTGAGGATTTAAAAAATTGTGATATATTCCCAGGGTGACAGCATTGGTAATAAAATGTATTTTCAGAGTGCTTTTGGAATATCCCTATCTCTGAAGTACATAAAGAGCCCAAAAAGAGTGTGCAAGCTCCTCACGAGTATTAAATTAATTAAGCAAGATGACCATCAGACCACCATTAGATTATAAAAATCACTTTGCCATTATTAAGCATTTGCCATTAACTGAGGTGTGTGTGGTCTCAAAGTATTGCCGTGAACTGAAAGAGTATAGTATTGGACCAGTAGAACTAATTTGGTTGTTGAGATTGGCATGCAAAGGAAGTGACTCCTAGTCCAAATTCTTGCCTGGGCCAAGGAGAATTCTGAAAGGAGTCCCATATGGTGCATAAGTTTTGAGACTTGATAGGTAATACTTGAAAGGCATATAGCTCCATATCAGTTGAGTCTGAAGTAGATTTGAGGGAAGAATCCAGTTAGGAAAGTTATCACAATTCTTGTTGTTGGGTGCCACATCACAGGCTGAAACCCATGTGGGCCAGGCAGACTCAATTGACTTCTACCTTCTCAAAACTTATGCACTACCAAAAGCAAAGTGTCTGTTGTGTACTTAACAATACCTGCCATTTATTGAGCATTTCGTGTCCATTAAGTAAGTACTCTCATCTTTTTTAAAGGTAAAATTGAGTTTTAGAAAGCTTAATTTGCCCAAGTTTACACAGCCTGGTAGGCAGGTAAGTGACAGAATTGGAATTCGAAACCAGATCTGACTGAGCTCCGAAACTCGTTATTTCTGCAGTTAAGTGTATACTGCCTTCACATGCATTGTGTAAAATGTTCATTTTCTTCACAGCTATGTGCAAGTCAGAGGTTCTTTTTTTAGTAAAGCCTTTTAAATGCAGATAAATCTGTGGGACTGTTATAAAAATTATTTGGAGATATTTATAATTGTTTCCTAATCAATTTTATAAGTTTGGAGCCATGTGTTATGAACTGTAAAGAATAACAATAGTTAAAGATAACCATTAACATTATTTATTTTGTCTAACTTTATCATCTGAAGTAATATAAGATACATAAGGATATAAGTATAAAATGTAATTAAAACCCAAAATATTATCAGATATGGTCCAAATATAAAATAAATGTGGCAGGATGGAGTTGTTTTACTCCATTACCTCCTGTCGTTTTTTCATCGCTTACCTTCCAGGGATAGGGTCATTAAGAAAGAAAAGACAAAAGAACTTTGTTAGCATAACAGCTAGAATCTGGTTCTGCTATAAGGGGAATATTACTTGTAAGAAATTTATGTCCTGTAGATTTGTTAATTTTATAGGATGCCTTGGAGGGCAAGAACTGATGGAAAGAAAACTGGGTGAAACCAGTTGGGAAATAGGCACTGCAGGGTGGGCAAATGGGTGAAAAGAATTACAGGGTCAGTGGAGAAGAGAACAGGGAAGACCAGAGAGAGAAGTTACTGCCAGATGTTCCTTTGGGGTAAACTCTGATAGCCACATATCTTAATAGGACAGTTAAAGGCTTCTATTATCTCTCAGGCTCCCAGTTGTGTATGTTCATCATTGTCTAGTAAGATTTTTTCTCTGGCAATGGATTACACTTTCCAAATGTGAAGGGTGTAATTGTCTTAAACATTGGGGTCATGATGGGGGGAAGCACATTCTGTTAAGGTGAGAGGTGGTTGCAATGTGGTGGAGAGTGTTTTCGGGTGTTTTAGGACTAAGGACAGTGTGAGAGCCAGAGATCCAGCAGGCTTTACATGCTAGAGCAGTTCTCTGATGAACATGTATTTCTCTTTCCCAGTTTTCATGAATAAATATCCAGCAGCCATAGCTTTAGCTTCCTGAAGAAAATGGACTAGTTACAATTAAATGTAAGGTTTCAAATTAAGAAGAGATTTGAGTAAACCAATTCTTAATTCATCCACACTAAAACTAGATAGTCTATCAAGTCTGCATGATATGAAGTTCTTCCCAGATTATCTAAGGAGAATATAATGTTCATCTGAAGTGGCAGAGTACTATGAGGGAAAAAGATAAAGAAAAAAAAGGTTGAGGGTTTAAAGACAAACCAAAGACTTTACAGTTTTGCCTGGGTTTGACCTAGTGATAGTCATTTGGGTAACAAAAAAGCAATCTGTACAGAGTTTCTGAATTAACTGCTTGTATTTCTTTTCCCCTTGGCATCATATGTGAAGTATTTCTTTCAAAGCATATGCCAGTTCTTTTCAAAGGGAGCTTTGTTCTGAAACGATCTGGTAATAGAGGTATCACTGCAGAAAATGGGATAAAATTCAGCTTATATTGCAGAATGCCATGGTGTGTTCATTTTTCATTTCCCTTTCTCCTCCCCTTATGCCTCCAAACACACGCTTCATCCTCTCACTGCCAGAGTGATTTTAGAAGATTCTGTAACAAGTTCTTAGAGCCCCATTGTGCAGTAACAAAGAATTCTGGCATTGAGCTGCAGGTTCTGTCCTTGCCTGCTTTCCTGAGTGGTAGGCTGCTCTCGTCTCACTAATGGCGGAGTAGGACAAGGAGTGCGCAGGCCTGCAAACTTGCCAATCCCTAGGAGACCAAACAAGCACTCATCATGCCAGTCAGACCTGTTGGATGGATCTCCAGGCAGGTGTTGAAGAACTTCTCTGGAAGTATAAAGAATCTTGTTGTAAAGGGGATGTGGGAAACAACTGGGAATTAAGTCCCCTAGGGTTCACTTGCTTTCCCAGTCACCTGGGCGGTGGGCCCAATGTTCCATGTTCTTTCGAGTTAATGATTAGGGGATGTTTTTAGTGAAGCATTTGTTTTCTTAACTTCTTTTTGTCTTAGTTGAGGGGATCCAGAAAGTAAGCATGGACCTTGTAGATGAGTTTCAAGATGAGTTCCCTACCATTTTAAGATTATCACAGTCTAATCAAGTGATGTGATTTCATAATTTTGGAAAGGATTATAAAAAGCATATTGTATTTTTAATATCATTCTGATTATTTAATGTTTGATTTTGAAATCAGTGCTTGAAGCTTAGGAAAACATTAATTTTACCACAGAAAAACAAATTTCAAATTTTATTCATTGGGAGGAGTTTATGGAAAGGAGATTGTGGATGAGGAAGAAAGGTATTTAGATAAATTAAGTTTAAAGACCACCATTGTGCCATTCAAATGAAAATCTGGAACTCTCTCATAGCCACAATTGCAGTGTAGTTTGCTACATTTGCTTAAGATTTGCTTAATATAAAATCAGAAAAATACTTAAATATATTTTAACGGAAATCTATGGCAATCAAATCAGTGAAAAAACATAACTGACATAAAAATTGTAGTGATGAAAGATAAGTTTGATAAAATAAACACAGTATGGGTATGTGTTTTATTGTGGAAAGAAAATAGTGATATCAATTTAAATAAAATATATATGCATATGTTTTATGCCTCTGTTCCAAAAAGTGTTTGAGACAGATAAAATATATTGGGAGTAGAAGAGGGGATAGGTAGAGAATTTTGAAGGGACATATGGTCAGGAAAAAGTAACATCTCGTTTAGGGGACACATGTAACCTAATTTACTCAAAAGTATACAGCTCTTAATGAAAAAATGTGTTTTATTGATCTTGACTACAGTTGGAATAGAATATGTTGCAAAGTTACATGATACAGTAACAGTCTACTTATCCAGAAATCAGACTTTTGGCACTGTCAAACATGAGGAACATAGCCAAAACATGTAAGTTAAAAAAAAAAAAGCAAAAAACATTCTGAGTAACATAGGAATCACAACGTCTAGTATTTCCTGCCAAAGGAGAGGTATTACAGTTACTCTTAACCACTTATCCAGACACCCAGGCATCAGACATTTACTAAATACTTAGTACTATTACCTGGGATTGGGGAGAGAATGCAGAGAGAACAAAATAGGATTCCTTCAGTCAATGAGCTTAATCTAACAGAGACAGAATTGTAAACAAGTAATTGCATAGAATATAGTAAGAGGTATATCAATTTAGGAGGAATGAATGATTCTATCTAGGATGGTTGAAAGGCTTTATAGAGGAAGGACGCTTAAATTGGATCTGGAAAAATAGAAGTTTTCAAGATAGAGAAGTGGAATAGAAAAAGTGGGTAGTAGCTGAGAAGAATATTCCAGAGGAAGCAATGTCAGTTAAGCCAAAAAATATAAAACAGCATAGCATGTTCCCAGAATGTCAAGTAAATCTCAATAAGTGGCATGAATCTTTGGGGATTCTAGACTTTGGGGAGGGGTAATACTGAAGTGTATCTAGATGCACAGTCGTAAGTTGGCATCTGCATGGTGCTACTAAGTAACATAAAATAAGGTTCTTTTTCTGCCATTTACTTTAAAAGTGTGTTGCTGAGATTGGCAAGAAACCTGAGCAGTTAGGGGATATCATAACACAGTGAAGTTAATTTGCTCTTCAAAAACAAATTATCCAGAAAACAGTGTTAATACTTAGTTAATACTAGATTATTTTTAAAGGGTCATATTGTAAATGCTGTAAATTTTATTATTTCCAGGGTGATCCATAGTTCCCAAATACACTTAAAGAAATGGTTCTAAGAATAAGCTTAAAGGGCTTTATTAATTGGATTATATTTTAAATCCCTAATTTGGTGATTAATATTTAAATCTTTAAAAAAACTTTTAGTCATTTATTTATTTAGTAAAAGGCCATCTTGTAGGCCTGGAGCAACAAACAAACAAAAAAACCAAAATAACAAAAAAACTGATTCGATGGGAGTAATGGTGGAATTTTTATAAAGAATATACCCAGAATAATGGCTATTATAATAGTTTTTCATGGCTAAATATTTTGACGGAAATTTTCTTTGTGGCATTGAGAGAAGTTAATGTTAGAATCTTGGCTTGAAGTTGTGGCTTCTGAGGTCATGTGCTTTCTACTCATGTTCAACCAAGCCCATACCCCTATACCCTTAGTATCTTCTTCCTTCGGCAAAAAGTGATTTTTTTAAGGTTTGTACTTGGAAACTGCAAATGATTTCCATATGAGGATTTTAAAATATTAAGCCTTTATATCTGAACAAATGGAAAATGTATACTACAATTGGGGAATTAAAAAATTGTAATTCTAGTGGTCTTTTCTTGAATGGGAGAAATATTTTTTGGTAAATAGAGTCATTGTGGGTTTTAATTATGAAAGCTGACTGATTATGTGTTTTAGTCTGTATTTTACATTTAACCATATATTTCAAAATTGGGACTTGTAGATAGAATGTATTGGAATCCATGCAAAACTTTGGGTTTTTATAGCTGTAGGTATACTTTCCTGAATTCTCCATGCTTTAAAAAAAATAGCATGTAGGACAAAACTCCTAAGGGATGCACCATTGATGTCTGGAAAGTACTTATATTGGTATTCAGGTTTCTAAATGTGAGAGTAGGACTATAACTAGAGTGTTCTGTAATTCAGTTATATTTTTGTCTTTGGGGAGTTGTTTCTTATGGGGCACTACCATAATTGTGAAAGTTACAGAGCCCATTGTTCACTGAAAGCTTTCTGGATGGTTTCTAATTTAACATTTGGTATATTTCTCAATATTTGTCTGTTACATTTTCTGATATTCTTCGATTTGAACAAATAATTTATAAAGCACCTACCATATGCCAGACACTATTCTAGGTATTGGGGAAAGATCAGTGATCCAAATGGAGAACACAGCTCTCAAACAACTTACATCCTAGTCGAGTAGAAAAATAAGACGTAAGGAAAATGAACTATATATTATGTTAATGGTAGGTCTTAAGGAGAAAAAAACACAGCAAAGAAGAGATAAAAGTAGGGGTAGGGATAGGGAGAACAATGGACCATTAAGGTAGGATGACCAGGAAGGTCTTAGTGAGAAAGTGATTCTGAATTAAGACTTGAAGTACGTGAGGTAGTAAATCTTGATATCCTTTAGGAATGGAATGGCTAGTTAGTGCAAAGGCCCTAAGGTGAGGGTATACCTAACAGGCTCAACTAATAGTGAGGGAAAGGGAGAGAAATGACGATGAGGCCTGAGAGGTAAAGCAGAGACAACCTTCAAAGAGCCTTGTAGACCATCGTATGCCCTTGGGCTTTCACACTGAGCGCCAGGGAGCCACTGATGCATTTGAGCAGAAAAGCAGGCTGTGATAGTTGTATCTCTCTGGCTGGTATGTTAAGGAACAGAATGAGAATAGGGAAGGGCAGAAGCAGGGAGACCATTGAGGAGGCTAATTTACTAGTCTGGAGAAGAGACAATGGTGGTGTATAAATACAATGGACAGGCTGTTGGCATTGGGGGAGTTCAAAGTGGTCAAATTCTGAGACTAGTCAGAGAAACAAGTGAATAAGATTGCTGACAGGCCGGTTTTATAGATGGAGGGTAGTAAAAAGCTGATGTAATAGAAATTGGAGTTCAGCCTTAAAACTGCTGATGATAGAGAAATGGGCATGGCTCTAGAAAAAAATAAAAAGGGAAAGCAGGAGAGATATTCAAAGAATGGAAACCAAATAGAGAAATCTGGAGCAGGATTCTCAAACCAATCTGATTAACTGATGTTAAATTCTTTTACTAAAAGAAATGGTCCTTACGTACATCTGAGTGTCTCTTAGATACTGGTTGTGATGGGAAGTTGGAGTTTCTTTTCTGACATTTGGTGATGTGCTTAGATGATGATGACAAAAAGAATGATCTAAATTTTCATACTTTGAGCCAGGATCAGGTTACTTAAGCCAAGAGTCAAAAAAGGAAAATAAAAGAAACAAGATTTCTGGATTTGGGGGTCAATATTTAAATTTATGTACACAGTTTGGTGAGAAAATACATAGCATAAATATCACACAAAAGAAAATTCAGTAGCTTATCAAAAGGAAAAATACCTTTTATTTAAAATTTTTTTTGCTATAGCTAATTAAAAAGTCAACTCACTGAAGGTGTCAGTGAGGTATCAGTGAATTGAAATCATTATCATAAAATGGTGACTGTTATTTTTTAAAAAGAAGAATGCCTCATTGTGTTCATTCTGTGTCTAATGGAATGTAAGTAGACTATCCTCTGTGGTCACCTTCATATTTCCAGAGCCACAGAGAACCACTGAACATGCACCACTGCCCAGAGTTGGTTTCCAGTACTATTCTTCTTGAAAGCAATAATGGTCTTGTTGGAAAGGAGTTGCTTCTATGTTTTGTGGCAGTGAAAATAAAGGTGTTCAGAAACATTTTTGTAATATTTTTTCATGTTTTGTAATGTCAGAAGTAGTAATTCTTTCAGAGGTTTCTAAAAAAGTATCAAAAAAGGAAAGTGTTTTAAAAACCATGAAGAGAAGCACAGTCAAATTGTAACCATTTGAACATTAAAGGGAAATAGATATATTAATTGGGAGCAAGTTGAGTCTGCTGGAAAAATACATGAATTAATGAGCAGACTAAGCAAGAAAGATAACACCAAGTGTGCGAAAGCATTATTGTAATGCACACTTGAAATTTTAAAATACTGTTTTTTTAGGTCAATATTTTGGCCAACACAAATGTGAATCTTACAAGAGAGTTTTGGTTAATGGATTATCAATTACAAATATGCTTATTTTTCTACAGAGATAAAAATGTAGAAAGACAACTTTTATAAAGTTTACAGATCAATCTAGTACAGTGTTTGGGGAATGAATCAAGATCAGTTAGTAGAAATACATGTGTAAACTCAGCGAATTCAGGCCACATGCACAGATCACCATGATTTTCTAAAACTTACAAAATAAGGAGAGGGAAACTGCAGCACATTCGTGTTTTCCAACTGCAAAAATGAAAGGCACCTAAAACACTGAGTGACCACATAGATGACATCTCAGTAAAGGTGGAACAGAAAACTTCCCGCCTGCTTGCCCTGGTAATAGGCCCCTCACCTTATGATTATAAATTATAATGAGAGAAAACACAGTAAATTGTAATCAAAAGTGTAGCCAAATATTCTAGCTGCTCTAACTTGAGGAGCCAGAAGAGTCAGCACAGCAAAGCATAAGGTCACAAGAGCAGCTGAATCTGCATGTGCGGGGTGTGAATATTGCAGGTCACAAAGTTGCTCTCTGTGGTGTGCTGGCGACCAGTGGAGGTTAGAATTTCAAGGTATTTATTGCACCAGCATGTTGTTTTGCTTGCTTTGCCCACCACAGAACTGCTGGTAAGGATTGTTTTACTACAAGGTGCTTTGTAATTGTAGACATTGTAGCAGCCCACAACTTAGATCACATTCTCTGTTGTTAGTATTGATTGGCAGGCTAGAACAACTTTTGGTTATCTGTAATGACAAATGCTGAACAGTAAGAGAAGTAGTGAACTTTGAGGACAAAATCAGCAGTAATAAGATTAGTACTTCAGCATAAAAGGTAAGGTATTTAAAATAAATGTACAGTATGTTAGCTCTTAAATATATGATGCTCATTGTAGACCCCCCAAAAATCCATTTAAGAGAGATTTTGTACTTATATATTTGGACTCAATACAAGTTGCTTATTTGTGTTATTAACCACTCCTTACAAAAAGCCAGAATAGCCCATAAAATTTCTTTAGGGAATAATAGAAACTGTACTTGTCTATTGCCTGGAATGCAGTCTGACCACATTATAATTAATTTCCCTGTGGTTCACTTTCTGGTAGAGCAGAGAGAGAACCATTTGTCATTTGTTTTGGTAACGCCACAAATTTTTTCTATCACAATGCTCATAGGAGGTTTTAAGTTTTTATAAGTAAAAATTTCTCAAGCTTGTTGATTAGTATATAGGGTATTTGCTTGTTTTTTCTTGAATTGTACAATGTATTTTATATGCATATTTTATTTAAAAATTTAAAGTAAATTGTATATTACATGTGTATGTATGCTATATTTTATCATTTAAAATTTTAAAGTAAACAGAAAATATTTGCACATTTTAAAAAAGAATTATTGTTTGAATAATCAAACATTGAACAATATTTGAATAAGAGATGTTTACCTTTGAAAGAGCTCTTTAAAAATGAATACAAGAAATAAACCCAGAGAAAAATGAAAAATTTATAACTTTAGACTAGTAACTTAAATTCTGGATATTTATCCTCAGGGAAGAAAATTCTATATTCATATAAAGATTTAAGTACATGGTGGGGGTCAATGAGTTGTGAGGGGTGGGATAATTATTAGACACTGAGTATATGCACAGGACCATGTACAATGGTACATGTATGCGGCGACTGGCCTTTGCCTGAAGTAAATTTTAATAATGCAATGGCAAATCATACATCAGTCACTTTTCAGAGGCTTATTTTCCAGCAAAGAGAACAGATACAGAAAACATCCAAAATCAGAATGTCTGTAGCTTTAGTGAAGATCAGTGGAGGAACATTGATTCAAGGATTAAACAGCATATTCAGATCCTCCAAATCAATGGCCAGACTTCTGCAGCCTCAGCTTGCTTGAAGGCTTTTAGAGTGAAGAGACGTGTCTCATCGTCTGCTGAGGGAAGTTAACGCACCAAAGCAGCCCCGATATAACATGCAGGTAGGTGAGATTGCACAAGATATAGACCCTTCTTTCAGGAACTGTTTTGAAATTGCAAGATTTGAAAAATAAAAATGTAACGCATTTGTATTACATGTAAAACAAGAATAACTGGGTAAAAGAAATGAGTGATTACCCTTTTTTCAATATAGCATATACTCTCATTTACATAAATTTGGAAGAGTAAGTAATACGGACTTTTTTCTACTTTGATATTTGATTGAACTCTATGAAGCTGTCAACTTCAAATGGTTCAACCTCAATATAAGCATGCAAACTATCGCTTACATCAAACCCAAAAGAAATCCTACAGTAAGCCTTAACGATTATTGGGTTTTGCTCCCTTTTCCCTATAACTTTATGTTTCCAAGATAATCTTTGTTTGACATAATATAAAGAGTATATTTAACTATAAATCATTTCAATAGACTCATCTACATTCAGATATGTTTCAAATTACATGTTCTACCTTGTTTTATTGAGGCTTTGTTATATTTTGTTAAGGACAACAGCTCATAAAACTTTTTTAAGGCCAGTTTGTTTTTTCCTAAACTTTATAGCACAGAACTCTGAGTTTTGCAGTCTGGGCATTATTCAAAATGTCCCTTTGCTATGAAAGATTCAGAATCTTGTAAGTCTGTCATCTAAACCCCAGAGTGAATCAATTGTGACTCTTTTGCTGAAGGAAGAGAGAACTTGGCACCAACTGAATTAATCCAAAAAGAAGATGTATTAGTTCATGTAGTTGAACAATCCAAAGTTGATAAGTCTTCGGGCAGAGCTGGATATAGGTACTTTAGGATTCTCTCTCTCCATCTTCAGGCTCTGCTTTCTTTGTGTTGACTCCATTATTAGATTGACTTTTCCCTCGTGGTCACAAGATGATTTGCAGTTGTTTTCAGGGCTACATCTTTCCAGGTTCAATTATAGCAGAAAAGAATGAGAGTCTTTAACCCTGCAGTTCTGGCCAACCCCCAAGGTTCGCTCTTGGAGAATGGTGTGCCTCAAAGCCAGGAAGATGGGATGTGCTGACTGGCCTAGGACTCAGTTATCTGCTTTGTCCCTGGAGTGGAAATTGAAGCCCCATCCAGAGCACATGGCCTAAGAATGGGGAAGGAATGACTCTTCAAATAAAAATCTGGGTTGTCTCAAGAAGATGAGAGAATAGATGATGAATGGCTAGAATCAATGAACTATCAATTACACAGAAATATCTCTTTAATTAAAAAAACTCTAAAATTAAAAATTAATTTATTTATATTTAATTTTAAAATTTCCAAAAACCACTGGCTATTTCAACTATCAGTTGCCTGAGCCAACATTTATAAAAGGCTCCCTTATAGTACCTGATGTTTGAGAAAGTAAAAAATGGTTGTGTTTGTTAACTACTGGATTCTCTAAGCACCATAAGCGTTATTCCTGTATCTTTAGATCTTCAAAAAGAAACATAGTCAAACCATGTAATTCCCACTGAAATATCTTTTGGAATCTAATGTTTTGCCTTGATGTTTCTCTCACAGCATTGTTAGACCCATAGTTTCTATAAAGGGTGATAATGTGTCCTTTGAAGACTATTTTTGTATTTATTATGAAATCATATTTAAAGATACTGAAAAAAAATCATGTTGAAAGTCCATTATGTTATTGGAATCTTCTTTTTTGTTTCTTTGCTAAGTCAGAACTGAGATTTTACACTGTCTATAAACTAACAAGTTAGCCTGTCACAATTATACATATATGTGCACACACACACACACACACACACACTGATAGAAGACATAGACCCCCTTGAATCAGAGATATAAGTCATTGATTGTTTACAGCAAAAGCAGTGGCCAGAGCAGCATCTGGTATCACTTCCCTACACCTTAGTTCCCAAAGGGCAATGTGATGTGGGCCAGGTGTTACCTGCAGATGTATTAAGTTGCATTACAGGAGAGGAAGCCTGAAATTAGGAGACCTAGCTATTTATACGGATCCAGCCTTATCCACCCAGCCTCAGAAAGAGAGGAAGTAAAAGACTGAAGAGCATGTCTGTGAAGGGGGCCTTAGCTTAGTGCCCTGCGGCATGTCTTTGGGAGGTATATCCCGAGGGCTCTCCAGAGGAATACACTTTCTCTAGCATCCACAGGTACTTGCTGTTCAACCACACCTTTGACTCAGAGGCCCAACTTGTATAGGAATAAGAGGCATTCATGGAGAACTGTCTCCTGATACTCATGAAAATGCAGTGGCAGAAAAATAACCTGTCTTTCCAGTTGTTTTTCTTTACCCAATAAAGAGAACTAAAATATACAATGCATTTACCATTTTGCCTTGACTATGGTATTCACAGGCAAATTTAGAACTTGGTTGTGATAACTTATTCCAAGAACCCTAGATGAAAGAAACAGGTTGAGGGATTAAGTGACTTGTCCTGGGTCCATATGCTGACTATGGCTGTCTCTTTTGACATAATTCAAAATCACACTATGAAATTTTCTTCTCCTTTGTCCTTGTTTTAATTATTTTAGACTCTAGCTTTAATTTTTTTATTAAGGTATTATTGATATACACTCTTATGAAGGTTTCACATGAAAAAAACAATGTGGTTACTACATTTACCCATATTATCAAGTCCCTACCCATACCCCATTGCAGTCACTGTCCATCAGTGTAGTAAAATGCCACAGATTCATATTTGCCTTCTCTGTGCTACACTATCTTCCCCGTGACCCCCCCACACCAAGTGTACTAAACATAATACCCCTCAATCCCCTTCTCCCTCCCTCCCCACCTGCCCTCCCACACCCCTCCCCTTTGGTAACCACTAGTCCCTTCTTAGAGTCTGTGGGTCTACTGCTATTTTGTTCCTTCAGTTTTGCTTCATTGTTATACTCCACAAATAGGGAAAATCATTTGGCACTATGTCTTTCTCTGCCTGGCTTATTTCTTTTTTTTCTTTTATTTTCTTTTTATTTATTTATTTATTTATTTATTTTTATTTTGGTATCATTAATCTACTATTACATGAAGAACATTATGTTTACTAGGATTCCCCCTTCACCAAGTCCCCCCCACATACCCCTTCACAGTC